TTGACTCATACGAGAAAATTGAAGTTCTTTGCAAAGAAAATAGTTCCAACTCAATTTAAATGAAAAATTTATTATTAAAAAATTCATTGAAAACATTTTTTACATATAAATTCTGTTTTTGAAATATATTTTCCGCAAACATTTCGATTACATTTAGCACAAAGGCTCTTACATCTATTTCTATTACATGATTCTTGAACTTGACAATTCTTCCGTGCGTCAGTAGTATGAATTTTTGTCAATGGAATGGATGTGTTCTCGACATCTTCTCTATATTTACTTCTTAGCTCTTCAGCCAATTGGAAAATAAAATATTTTCTTGAAATATTTACATGAGTGGTCTCTTTATATAGAATCCAAGCATTGATAGCTGCTAAATCTAAAATGTTATAGAAAACTTGTAGAGGCCATCTGCGAGAGCCTGCTTTAACGCTATATTTTTGGGCCATTTGGTCAAGTATATCCACGCCATACTTGGTGCTATTATAAAATGTTACTGTTTCCGGAAGAAGTTTTGTATTTTTTTCAATTATCATATTTTTATGTTTTGAACTTAGTAGTAAAACTTTTTTATTAGGCTTGCTTTTATAAATGGTCAGAGTACAATTCTCAGATTTATAAAGTTTTGTGGAAAACCGTGTCATTTTATCTTTCTTAGCTTTCGCAATTTCAGGTAATTCTTTTCGGTTTGCACGTATAGTGCCAACCAAAGTAGTTTTATTTGCAAGTAACTTTTTTGCAAGTGAAATGCTTGTAAAAAAATTATCTGTGGTGATATTTCGTCCACAACCTAAATATGGTTCTGCAAGCTTAGTCACTACAAATTCGCTCAGGGGAATGTTCAATCCTCGGGTTTCATCCTTGCCCAAGTACGGAAAACCGTTTACAAGGTATTTGCTTCTAACATCAGATGCCAGCCAAAATTTGATGCCAAATTTATCCGGCTTATTTGGCATGTATTGTATAAATCGGCATCTAGCTTTAGTAGGGAACAATTGCTCATCGATTGTTATGTTTGCGTCAGGATTGTAACAAACCCGGCTATTCTCTATAAATTTATCCCATATTTTTGAAATCAAATTTGTCTGTTTTCAGTCTTTTACTGTGTTCATTTTTTTTATCAAAACGTATGAACCGAAGTATGTCTATAAATTTATCTCTAGACATTGTTTGGGAGAAAAAAGCCGGACCCCACTTCGTAGACCACAAATATTAGTCCCATCAGCAGCTTTTTCGGTTGAAATTTCTTTATTACAAGATGTATCGATAGCGTCTAAATCATTTTCGGTTTCAGAATCAGAAATAATCCTAGCTCTTTTTTTACTAGGAGTTATATAACGAAAAACTTCATCTTCACTTCCGGTTTCAGAATCAGAAATAACCCTGGCTCTCTTTTTGCTAGGAGCTATATAACGAAGATCTTCATCTTCACTGCTCGAAAATTCAATTCTATTGGCTTCCTCCTCTATTTCAATTTCGTTATCACATAGTTCCACATCAGTTGCACCCGATTCATTATCTGATTGGTCATTCTTTATTTTAATTAGTTTTTTCAACAAAAGCAAATTTTTCTGATTTTTTCCCATAATAGCAACCCTAGATGACCAGATGTAAAATAAATATCAATTGTAATACCTTTTACAAATAAATTACAAAATTACCTTTGTGGATCAAATTTTTGTTGCAAAAAATGGATTTTATAAAATTATATTATTTCACTAAAAATGCTCTGTTCACACGCGATGTATAAATCGAACTGATGACAGAAGTGGGTAAAAAAGAAAGATAATGTAGCGGAGTAGCGAAAACAAGTGAGGATGGCTCTCACACACACAAACATTATATGTGAGGAGAGACAAATTAGAGGAGAAACAAATGACGTGCGGCTTGCAAGCCGCAACTTGCCCAGGCCTGATGTAATCTATAAATTTCATGTGTTATGCGATTAATTGTTAAATCATTTTATGAGTCAAATTGGCTCACAACCGTAAAAAAAGGTATACCACATTCGATAATGCGAAATGAAGGGGTCTGCGCGGGAGAG